AATGTGGGGGGGGGTGGGGGTAAAGTTTTTGATTCTTCAGAACGCAACAATGTGAGCACCTGTCGCTGACTTCGCATGCGCCTTCTGAGCTGCTGGACCTGTTACAAGCCGCAGCGGATGAACTGTGAGTACTTGATTGTTTGTCAAGGCATCGCTTGCCAACAGAATATGCAACCTCAAGTTATATAAATGCAGCCTCAGAATATGCCAACAGAATATGCAGCCTCAATATGCAGCCTATCCCTCAGGTTTGTCAGAAATGATAATCGATGATCGTCTGGTACACCCTTTGTTACTTGATGGGCTACTTGAGCTGGCTTCCTTAGGACAGTTCGTGACAAAGCCATACTTACTTTAATGGTAAAATATGCTTGCTTTGTAAAGTACCGTTCAGAGGTGTAGCCGGCCTCACACGTGACGTTCTATCGTCCCCTGAGTTCGTTGGACAGCGAGTGCTGTCACGAGCGATGACGGGTGAATTTCGTTCGACCAGCGTTAGTAGGCAACCCTGCTTTATACGAGTGTAATGCTCCGCGTCACATATTGCTGTTCGTGTGCCTGGCAGACACTTTATTCCTGAGAAGGAGTTTTTGCCTGCGAAACACGTGCGAACATAGAAGTGATTCGTAGAGAATTGTGCTAAGCGGACTTCGCGATGATCGCCGAGTGCCGGGTCGGAGTTAAGTGGCCGTCGCCAGATATTCAAGATTTTTCGGCGGAACTCTTCTGCCGAGTTACGGTAGGTCAAAAGGCGAAAGACCAAAAGAAGCGGTTCAAATAAAAGCTGGCAAAAACTTCAGCTACTCCCACACTTAAAAAAGGCCCCGGGCAACATTCCTGGTTCCTGACTCACGCCGGTGGTGGGTCGGCAGATTACTCACGACGCAGGCGAATGTACGGTGCATCGGCCCGGCCGGATCAAATGCAAGGTCACCGTTGGTTCGTGTGGCGGTGGGATCGGAAACGAGGGTAAAAGGCGGCGGTTGCGATGACGAAGGATGCGGTCCGGTCGATCAGTCGGTGCTAATCGGGGCGCGAGGCGAGGCGAGGCGAGGCAAGGCGAGGCACAGCCATAATGGGCGTAACGCACGGTCGCCTTCAGACGGTGCCTACGTCCCGTGGTTGACCTGCGGCCTCGTTCAGTAAGCGGAGG